TGAAGTAAAAACACCAGATCTTAACTTTAATAATATATTTCATTTAATCCAACATATGCAATGTATTATTTCAATATGTAATCAATATAAAAATTACTAATTACATGCTTTAAGGTTTTCTGCTAAACCTTCAAAATCTGATATGCATTTTATATTCACAGTCCTGTCATTTTGGACTAGCTACATTTCAGGTGCTTGATAGTCACATGTGGCTAGTGGCTACAGGGCAAGTCTGGTTGAATGCAAGCCAGCAAACATGTTATGCTCGTGTTTTATGCCAAGCACTGTAATAGATGTAGAGATATGAAGGTGAACAAACACATCAGGGGAATAGGCAGACAACTTTGGGAACCACAAATCATAGTCCAAGGCTGAGAGCCTCTCCCCATGTAGACAGCTGGATTACTCATCCACACAGTTGGTTGAGCAAGTAGAGAAGAATGGTCTCCAGAAAAATGATCTCTATCTCCAGGGCATTTTTTTCTGTTCAGGTCTCATGGGCTAGAGAAGCATTTATTTTTGCTGAGCTCCTGCAGAGTCCTAGATACTTTGCTCTGCATTTGACAGGCATTATCCAATTTAATCATCCCCAAAATCGTGTGAGGACATGATTTTGCCCACTTTAAACGTGAGGAAATAAAGGCTTAGAGGCTACGTAATTGGCCCAGGGTCATCCAGCTTATGCGAGGTGGAACCGGGGTTCAATCTCAGAAACTAATCATGTGTGACTTGGTCAGTGTCTCACTGTGGAAGCATGGGAGAGAAGAATGTTTCTTGACCTTTGCTGCTTCTGCCTATTTATAGATATTCCCAAAGCTTCCTGAATAGTGTTGACTGGAGGTTTATTTTAATAACAACTTCCCATCTCAGGTGACCAGTGCTCCTACTGCTTGAAGGCCCTTGCTGAGAAGAGAAAACTAGGATATTCCTTGTCTCGGTTGCCCTAATCCACTGGGCACTGCTCTGTGCTGTTGAGGCCGCCCAGCTGCAATGGATCTCAGGCCCAAGTTTACCCCAAGATGGTTTGCCTTGTTTCTCTATATTGGGTTTGTTGCCCATAGCTTCCCCTTGCCAGCGTGCTGAGGGACCAGACCAAGGGTCCCCTGTTTCACATTGTGGGCCATGGTTTCTGTCTCTTGTTCCTGGACACTTGGAAACCGGGTGTGTTGAAAAAACATACCTAGAATGTGCATACCCTCTGAGTTGGAACATGGCCTGCTACAGCTACAGTGTTTCCTGAAAAAATACCAACTGTCAGGATGGTCATGGATGAAGAAGTTTGTGAACCCAGAACAACTGAGGAGAATGAAGTGTTCTGATCAAGATCGCCAGGGAGATTTCATGGAGAAACCACTTATGGGACACAGTTGATAATGGGGCAACTGGAACCAGGCTGTACAAAAGGGTGAAACAGTTAAGAATCAGATCATATTCTGAAGCCTTGAGCTACTGACATCCTGTGAGGTTTGCCTGGTTGATCTTGCCTGGATTGACGAAAGCTTGTTTTTTTTTTGTTTTTTTTTTTTTTTTTTTTTTTTTTGAAACCAAGCCGCATATTTATTCAGTGATTTGAAATAATTTTATTCAGTCAACCAATACCTTTTAATACCTGAAAACAACTCTTCTGGTAATTAAACACATGACTTTAAGAAAATCAGATAGATCTTCCCACATGGGGGTTCCTAGCCTAGCAGGAGGCCCCTTTAAAGTAGAAAGTGCCAGGAAAGGCCACCCAGCTCCTGGGTAGTGTTGAAGCTAAGATCTCCATGGTTGATAAGTCTGGACCTCAGAAGTCAGAATTGGATAGAGAGATCTAGGAGTTGATGCATGATATTTAAAACCATGTGAATGAATAAGATTCCCTAGGTAGAACGAACCAAAGGAGGCCCAGGATTGAGCACAAGCATGATTGACATTGAATGTCAGGTAAAGTAGGAGAGCTGAGAAGGAAAACCAAGAAGGAGCAGACAGAGAGCTGGGAGCTTAAAAACAAAGGTAGCTGCCACAGGAGCCAAGAGAGAAAAGTGCTTCAGAAAGGAAAGAGCACCTCACTGTGGCACACGCAAGACGATGGGTGTGGTCTCCGGATGGTGCTGCGCTGGTTTCTCTGCCCATTGAACAGGTACAAAAGAAAGAAGCCAGAACATGAATATTCTTTTTTAATTTTGGCTACAAAAGGAGGCAGAGAAATGGGGGTAATATCTAGAAGGGTATGAGATTTTGTCAAGAGAGTTTTGATTTTAAGATAAGGCATACAGGTCATGTTTATGTGCTCATCCCACTCTGTTCCCTCTTCCTGGAGGGCCTCCTCTAGAAAGCTCCTACCCATTCTCTGAGATCCATTTAAGTGTACCATCCTCTGAGAGACTGTCTCCCCTAGTCCAGTTAAATATCTGTCCCGACTCCCATGCCGTTCTCTGCATACAATGTCCACCTTACAGCGTACCATCTTGCAGGGTGATGGAAGTTTTTCCTATCCTCCAGCAGACAAGAGCAAGTTCCTAAAGAGTAGGGACAGTGTCCTCGCAAGGTTGTATCACTAGTACAGGTAGGTGCCTAGAACTTGACACTGGGCAGATGCTCATTAAATATTTGATGAATGAATGGAATACATATACATATGTATACACATATGATTTTAAAGGCAGTATTAAAAGCAACTTCCTCATATTTTTGCATGAGGAAACTGATAGATAGAACCATTTGGAGACTGATAATTTGAAAAAGTAGGAAGATCTTTTGCAAACACTAAAATCTCAAAGTCCTTATGCTTCAGGTCCTCTCTAGAGCTGCACTGCCAGCCCCACAGGTCACCTAGGGCTGAAACCCTCACATCCACATCAAACCTCAAAGTTCACCACAGGAGCACAGAGATTGTTCTACTGCTGTCTCCAGCTCTCCCTTCTATTTTATCTTGATTTTGGCAGCATCTACCAGGTTCAATGAAGACTTTTCTGTGTCTGATGGGAGACTAAGCTAGGGCAGTGCTAAGTGAAACATGGGGTGAGTGGCCCAGGGAGGGGAACAGACCAAGGGTATGAGCTAGAAAAACCAGACGTGGCTCAGAAGAAACCACAAGGTGTCACTGTTGGTCCTTGGTTAAACAAAAACTGATTTGGCAGGGACTTGAAACACTTGAATGACGCTTGTTTTGCAGACGAAGAAACTGAGGCAAAGATAGGTAACTGACTAAGATCCTGTAGTAAGTTAGGGGCAGAGCAGTTATGAGGAAGACCCAAGTCCCTTAACTTTGGGACCAGCATGGCTACCGAGGGGCAAGGCTCCAGGGCAGGGCTGTTAGATGAGGATTAAGCTGTCTATAATCATTCACTCAAGACAATGGCTTTCAGTTAGCATCAGAAGAAAGAGAAAATGGAGAAAGAAAAAAGCTCAGCTCTCACTTTCACATGTGTCTTATCCAAGTGTTGGGTTTAGATGCCATGGGCCACAATGAGAAAGTGTGGCACACAGGGGCTCCATCTGTGGCATGGCTTGAATGGCTGAATAGAAAAGTATCAGGTAATGTATTTCATCCTTTTTATGGCTTCAACTTAAAAAGAGTCTGGTTCCCAAGGAAAACAAGAAGCCAAGTGGTTCAACAAAGAATTGGCTGAAACCTAAGTAGGAACCAGATAAAAACATTTGCTGGATGGGAGGATGAGGGTAAGTTTCTGGGCCCCACTGCTTGTGGATGGGAATCTATGGGGCAGAAGACCTTTTGTGAGTCAGTGACCCCTGACCAGGCATTTGTCCCAGTGTCTGGAATGAACACAGGAGCACAGCAAGCATAAGGGAGGGGCTTTGTCTTCACCCCACCAGGTGTCTCACAAGGTTCCCTTACTCCTCCCATTGTGGCTTCTATTGAGGTTGACTACCTTTCTCACCTCCTAGGTAACTATTTTTTTTAATTAAAAGAGTTTCCTTAGATAATAAAAACTAATATGTACTCATTACAATAATAAAGATACCACTCACTATTAACACATTACTGCATAGGTTAAGGCAGTTGGTCTGTGGAACTGCTACCAGATGTCCCTGGCACTGCATTTAGAGCAGTAAAACCAACACACACCCATCTCAGCTCTCACAGAGCCTACAGTTTAGTTGGGGAAGACAGATTATATATATATATATATATATATATGTTTATATATATACTTTTATATATATATATATATAAATTAAAACATTTAGGATGTCAGACTGTGATAAGAACTATGAAGGCAAACCAGAGAAGGGGATGGGACTTTAAATGGGGGTGAGGTGGTAATTTTAAAGTGGGATATTCAGAAAGTGACATCTGAAGATCTGAAGTAGATGAGGTAGAAACCGTGTTCTACCTGAAGAAGGACTTTTTCTTTCTTCCTGTTTCCTGTGTATTTATAATAATCCAATTACAACCTAAGCAATATATGCTACATATTTAATTTAAAATCTTCAAGTGGGGGGAGCATTTACCTAGCAGTTAAGACACCAGTCAAGACATTGTGTGCCATATAGAAAGTCCTAGGTTTTATGCCTGGCTTCAACTCCTGACTCAGGATCCCTGCTAATGCACACCCAAGGGAGGCAATGGAGATGATTCAAGTAGTTGTGTCCCTACCACCCATGTGGGAGACTTAACCCGAGTTCCTGGCTCCCAGCTTTGACCTGGCCTAACCATGATTCTTGTGGGCATTTGGGGAGTGAACCAGTATTAGGATTTCTCTCTCTCTCTCTCCCTCTCTTTCTCCCCCATTCTCTGTCAAATAACTAACTTTTGAAATCTTCAAATAATATAGATGTAAATAGGTAACAAGAGACTCTCTCACCCTCTCCTATCACATTTTCCTCCCTCCAAGTAAACTGCGATAATAATGTGTTCCCTTTCTTAGCCCCTGCATTTACAATCATTTCTGTATATACTCACCAATTTAGTTTTTTACATAGATGAAACCATCCTTTGTGAAGGTAATGCTTTTTTATTTTTAGCAAACAGAATCTTTTTTAAAGGTTTATTTACTTATTTGAGAGGCAGAGTTACAGACAGAGGGGGAAAGAGGTAGAGAGAGAGATCTTCCATTCACTAATTCACTTCCCACATGGCCCCAGAACCTAGAGCTGAGTCAATCCAAAGCCAGGAGCCAGGAGCTTCTTCTGGGTCTCCCACACAGGTGCAGGGGCCCAAGGATTTGGCCCATCTTCCACTGCTTTCCCAGGCCATAAGCAGAAAGCTGGAACAGAAGAGGAGAGGCAGGACTCAAATCGGTGCCCATATGGGATGCCAGCACAGCAGGTGGAGGCTTAACCTACTATACCACAGTGCCAGCCCCAGCAAACATGATCTTCTTATTGTTTTCTAGACTTCAATGTTATATGAGAGCTAGATGCCTCATTACTAAAATGAAATAGCTTTGTTTCATTATTAGGTGTGGGTGTATGTTTCACTTTCTCTCCTGGCTGTTAATCTAGTATTTACTGCATTGTATGGTAATTATTTATTTCAGCTTCTGTCTCTTCTACTAGACCAAAAGTTCTTTATAGTCAGGTATTATGTCATCTCTTAATTTCTAGTGCTTGGTACAATGCCTATGATGTGGTGAGTGTTTGGAAAATGAATAGGTGGTCAATTATACTTCATAATTACTGTAGAAAGCTTCCAACATTGGCTGAGATCAATATTGTGTCCTAATGGGGTCCAATATATCTCCAGTGAAAAACCTGTATCACTATGGGATACAACGACTATAGGATGGCAGACAGGATAATTGGTCAGGTTCTTCAAATCAAATAGTCCCATTTTAGCATTAGAATTGCATGACCAACCATGAGCTACCTTTCACTCCTCAAGCTGAAAGAAAATTAACATTTAATGAAGACACATTGTGCTAAGCACTTTTTTAAAAATTTTGACCTTATTTTATTTGAAAAGCAAAATGACAGAACGGGTGGGAGTGGAAACAGAGAGAATTTTGTATCTACTGGCTCACACTCCCCAAGTAGCCTCAATGGCTAGGGCTGAGCCAGGTTAAAGCCAGGAACCAGGAACTCCATCTGGATCTCCCACATGGGTGGCAGGGGCCCAAGTACCTTGGACATCTGCTGCTGCTTTCCCAGGCATATTAGCAGGGAGCTGAATCAGAAGCAGAGCTGCCGAGACTCCAACCAGTGCTCTGATATAGGATGCTGGCTTTGAAAGCAGTGGCTTAACCCACTGTGCCACAATACAGACCCCTGTGTTAAGCACTTTATGTAATACTTGTTCAAAGGCGCAACACAACTCAATGAGGTGGACATTTTGCAGATGAAAAAGAAACAAGAATCAAAGAGACTCATAGGGATATTACGTGGGTCCATTCAGGTATCCACCCTCCAGATTTATCAGATCTTAACTTTCCTAGGTTTGCTCTGGACTTTTTTCCACAGAAATAAAACATCAATATGCCCTGGAAGGCCATGCTCAGAGATTTAACTGCAAGTACCAGATGGTACATTTAAACAGCCACTTAAAACAACTGTGCCATTTTCATCAGCCTAGGTGTGGGTCAGGACCTGTGGACCCAGAACAGAATAAAGCATAGTCCCTGCCCTCAGAGGGACTCACTTCCCCATGGAGGCGGCAGATGTGTAGGGTTTTACATTTGAGAAACTGAGCCTCAGAAGGGTAGCAATTCTTGCAAGCGTGTAAGCCAGGTTTATAGGTCAGGAGTCAAAACTGGAGCAGGAGGAGGCCCTACACACCCTGCCCTGTTACAATAGGGTGGTCCCTCCAGCTAGGAAGGAGAGTGGATCTGACCCAATCAGGCAGAATCTGTGAAAAACACACAGGAGAGCTCTTTTCTGTCTTCACAACCATATTTTTTTGCTGCAAAGAATTAAATTCTTTTCTGGTGACACACACTTCCTTGTGAATGAGGCACACCCAGCCAGTCAAAACCACCCAGAGCAAATGAAAAAAAATCCTTTTAATCCCTGTAGGTACACATTTGTGGTCTTTGCTGGAGTGTTGCCATTTTCCCAGGGCCTAGTTCAGGGTAGATTTGGGAAACAGCAAATTGGAATAATACACTAATAAGAGTAATAATCATGTACATTAAAATATCTATTATTTATTCCTTCCTATTAAATGTCTATATTCTTATAAAAGCATTCCTTCTCATCATAGAAACCTCATAACACCACAAAAATTTGTTTTTGTCTTTTAGGAAGCCAAAATCACCAATAATCAATCTCTCAGCCCTAGTAAAATATAACTGTTGCTATGTTGATGTATATACTTACTTTTTAAGAATCATATTTAGGGGCAGGCATCATGGCATGATGGGTTAAGCTTCCTTTGGAATGTTTGTATCTATATCAGAGTTCCTGGTTTCAGACCCAGTTATCACAAGCTTCCAATCAAGCTTCTTGCTAATGTGCCAGGGAGGCAGCAGATGATTGCCCAAATACCTGGGTTCCTGCCACCCAGATAGATGGGAGACCTGGATGGAGTTCTGGGCTTCTGGCTTTGGCCTGGCCCAGCCCATCCCTAGCTGTTGCAGGCATATGGAGATAAACCAGCAGATGTCTCTCTCTTTCTCCCACTCCCCCTTTGTCTCCCCCCATTTTTCCACTCTCTTTATCACTATGCTTTTCAAATAAATAAATAAGAAATGAAAATCATATTTATATGTATTTTATCCTGCTCTGCTCATATGATGCTATATGGTAAATAGCCTCCCCCATTAATTATGCTCTTTAAGTCATAATTTTAAATGTTTACATAACATGTCATACTGTGGCTCTGTATTTAATGGATCAATTGTTGAACACTGACATTTTTCTCCTGTGTTTTGGCTATTATATTACTACAACTCTAAACAGATTGTTGCCTTATTGAGAGACGTCGCTGGCCTCTTTCCTTATGTTTTCTCATTTCTATATCATAAACCTCCAGAGTGGACGTTCTCACTATGTTTTTTTTTTTTTTTCAAATGAAGGAACTGGGATTCAAAAAGGATAGAGGGCCATCTCAAAGTCAAAGCCAGGTTTGGAGCTCAGGTCTCCAACCCCTCAGCCAGCTCTTGGGTATACTTGGCTCTCTCTAGCCTATGCCGAGGCCTCTGTCTTCCCAGAGCATCACTGCCTGTGTTGGAAGAGTTTTCTTGTACTCTTCTTTGTCCAAAAATCCTACTCCTGGTCTCACTCCTGTTATGTCACCAAGGATCTGCTGGCCCCTTAGTAAGATTCAAGCCTTTCCAGTTAAATCCTCCCCATTTTAAAGATACTGGGCAGCTGGGCTCATGCGACTGATGATTTCCAACTGCCGCGCCACATGTTGTCTTCCGCCTTCGTTCTCAGCTGTTCTCAGACAGGCAGGCCGTGAGGTCAAGCACGTCTGCATGTTGTAAGACTGAATCCTGATACTCTCACCAAAGCCTTCGTGGTTATCTGTGCCCCTTTTGAATTCCCATTTATATTCTCAAAAATGTCCAAGATCTGAGATGCTCTTAACAACTCACCACATTTTAAACAGAATACTAAGCTTGAAAAAAAAAATTACAGAAAGCTTAAAACTTCCTTTTGAATTCTAGGCGGAGCTGTCTGATTGGCACTCACACTCAAGATGTTTTGAAACTTCACACACAGATCAGAAATCTTGATGTTTTCCTTCCACACCTGTCTGTGTCAGGCATGGTTGGCTGTCCAGCCTGTAGCTATTCTCTGCCTTCTCCCTGGTTCACAGAACCTTGATTTTGTTCAGGGACAATGTGTCCAGGTCAGAGGTTGAGCCAGGCTTGATCCAAGCCTCTAGACAACCTCAAAGCTCCACTGGCTGGATATTCATGTCCTGGCTTCCAGCAACAGGAGCAAGGGAATTTCTAGATACAATTTTTCTTTGAAACAAAGGAAGCTGTTTAAGACATTTCTTCCCTTCTTTTTTTTTTTTTTTCCTAAAGAGTTACAGAGAGAAGGGGAGAGACAAAGAGAGAGTGAGAGTGAGAGCGAGAGCGAGAGATCTTCCATTTGCTGATTCATTCCCCAAATGGTTGTAATGCCAGTGCTGGGTCAGGCTGAAGCCAGTAGCTGGAAGCTTCTTCCCAGTCTCCCATGTGGGTGACAGGGGCCCAAGTACCTGGGCCATCTTCTGCTGATTTTCCCAGGCCATTAGCAGGGAGCTCGATCAGAAGTGGAGCAGCCGGGACTCGAACTGGTGCACATATGGGATACTAGTGTTGCAGGTGGTGGCTTTATGTTCTCTGCCACAATGCCAGCACCCTGGAGTGATCTTTTAAACACATAACCTGTACCATGCTAATCCCCATTTCAAACCTTTTATGGGCTTCTCATTATATTTTTTTGTGAAATCCAAACTCCTTACCATGGCCTACAAGATCTTGCCTGATCTGGCTACATGCCCATCTCTCCAGCCTTTGCTTATCTCACTTTCCTCCTTACCAAAGTGGCCTCCTAGCTCTTACATGTTTAAGGATTTCATAATTCAGATCCTTCTGCCTGGTACACTGTTCCCCTAATGTTCCTTCTGGCTGGATCCTTTTTGTCTGCTAGATGGTAATTATCAGTCTTCTTAGAGGGACTTCCCTTTCCACCCAGAAGTAAGCTTTGCAGTTAAGTCTCTCTGTGAAGCCAAACGATTCTTGGTCAATTTTGTAAAGCATTGAATTGCCTCAGTGTTTGGGGGTTATTTAGAAAACAGTATTAATTTTCTTCTGTGTCCTTTGGAGAAAGCACAGGGTATTACTATGAACAGAGAAGAGCGGTAATGAAAATTGATCTTCTATCATCTATCATCTCCCTTTAGTCTTATGAGATGCTGCTATTATCTCCTGATGAAATAACGTTCTATAAAACCTTGCCTGTTATGCAATTTCTGCAGATCTTAGATGAACAATCTGAGCTCAAGCAATATGAATTACCATTTCATCTGTTCATTTGCCTGTAAGTAATCATGTTTTTAATGGTGTCCTCTTTCCTATGGGTTGTATAGAAGTCCTCTTTTTATTTTATTTTATTTTTTGACAGGCAGAGTTAGACAGTAAGAGAGAGAGAGAGAGAGAGAGACAGAGAGAAAGGTCTTCCTTCCGTTGATTCACCCCCAAAATGGTCGCTATGGCTGGTGCTGCGCCGATCCGAAGCCAGGAGCCAGGTGCTTCCTCCTGTCTCCCATGCCGGTGCAGGGCCCAAGCACTTGGGCCATCCTCCACTGCCTTCCCGGGCCACAGAACTGGACTGG